CACCAGCAGCATGCCCTGCCAGGACTGGGCTGGTGCCCAGGGGCCACCATGCTGTGGTGGGCTGACTGTGCTCGGCACAGACAAGGGGGCTTGAAGTGCAGCCCTGGGAAGCTCGCCTCCCTCCAAGACCGCACCCCGGCAGGGCTTCTTCCGGGCCATGGTGAATCCCGGAATGCCGGCTCTCCCCTCAGCCCTAAGGCAGAGCCCCGGGAAGAGCCCATAGTGCAGCCAGGTTTGACCACAGCTGGGGCAGGAAGCTTTTCCTGCTGGGATCAGCTTGGACAGTTGAAGGAGCTGCTGGAGAAGAGCCAGGAAGGCTGTTACTCAGGAATGCTGGCACATATGGCTGATGGGCACCACACTGGCTGCCCACCCGGCTTGCACCCCTACACTGCTCCTGATGGGATCTGCTTGGCCCCATAGCAGCACAATGCCTCAGCCAAGGAGGAGAAGAGGGGATTGAACACCCACCAGCACACCGACCTGCATTGCACCAGCATCGTCCTGGGCAGCCGCCCTCCTCCAAACGCAGCAGCCTACAGGGCACGTGCCAGGGTCCAGTCGGGTCAGAGCTCATGCCACACCCCAAGCCAGTGGGTGCCAGGACAGCAGGGGAGAGACAGCAGCCCTGCAAACAGCCCAGCCACGGGGCTGCCAGCATCTGCTGGGCACCCCATGGGCTGGAGTCTGTCAGAAACCTTATCAGGCGTTGTGATACGGCAGAGCTCTTCCGGGACTGGGCAGCCGGGGAGCTCAGGGCCCAGATCGTGCCACGGCTCCGCAGGCTCCACTGCGTCCACACTCCCTGAGGATGTAGCCTGCTGCCATTGCAGGACCCCAAATCCCCCTTCCCAGTGCTGGGGGGATCCTTGAAAGAAGATTCCATTACCAGTCCTGACATGTCATTACATGGTGCCACGAGGTATTGCTCAGGCCGTCGAATGGGGACAGAGGATTAACGGGGAAGAGAGGAAGCAGGGAAGGAGCCCCAAGAAGAAGGGCGATCCCCCCCTACACCTCATCCTCCAGCAGTCATGACCTTCAGCTGCTTTTAGAAATGAGCTTGTGCTTCCCATCCACAGCCACATCAGTCCCCAAGCATCCCAGTAGCACGCATCCCACACCAGCCTGCCCCGTGCCTGTCCTCCCCTGCCCCTCATGCCTGCCTACTGGCGGGCACTGCTGCAGCTCTCCCACTGCCCAGCTTCTCAGAGGCAAGAGCAGCGCTTGCATAACGGAAAATGTTAGTGGGGAGAGGGCAGTGCATCTGAGAAACCTCACAAACATCCGGCTGGCGACACTGGGGCTATCTTTACACCACAGGC